TATTCTGCAAATTAGGTCACTTAAAGCGTTAAAGGTCTTCAAGCTTAGTTATTCACCACGTCCCTTTCTCATTATCTGGAGAGAAAATGCATTCTTTTAAAAAGAAGCGCTCATCTGTGGAAACTTTCTAATTAACTTGGTTCAAAGCATGTGCAAGATGGCAGTTTTCTACACTGTTTCAGCATTTTAATTGGCAGAAAATGCTTAGCAGCCTATTCACAACCCCCCTTGGTAATTAAGCTAGGGTCAACTCTATGACTAAATGAGCCAATCTCTGAAACAAATGATTTCTACCATACACAGTACATAGCATATTTGGTTTACAGCAGTCTTTGAACAAAGTTAATGAGGTAGGAGCTGTGTCACTATGGGAGATTTATACAGAAGAAGTTAACCTTTCTTAATGGTGCAGGAGTCATTAAAAATAATTACTTTCAGGGCATTCTCTGTAACAATTATTAACATCTATCAGGACATAATTAATTCGAGCTTCATTTCTGACAATGCTAATAACCACCTGCAAGCATCTAATCAATATTCACTACTAGTAATGTATTTGTTTTCAGAGCAGTACAATTTCCTCTACGGCTTTTCTGATTGCCTAGGGTGTTACTTTCACTGTTGCTCATCAAGCACCTGTCAACATCTTCATTACAATATATGGATTATGATAATATTGCAATATAGACAACTCTAAAGGGCAATATTCTATAACTGATAATAAAACAAACAACTACGGTTTCTTAAAAGCATTGAAGAAAAAAAGAGACTGTTTTAACTCTAGATGAAACGAGCCTGTCACTCTTTTTCCCTGCAGGGATTTTAAAGAATAATAAATAATATCAGAGCTAGGGCTTCCTTTCTCTTGCCCCAGGAGAATGTATAGGCATCCAGGGGGCACTGTGCCTCTCCAGATGTTTATTGATCTACAAAGGGCAATCATCAGGACGCAGGCAAGAGGACTCATTTTCTCTGCCCTCAGGTCAGACAGTATAGGAGTTGGGGTGGCACAGCTGTTTACACTTTGATCTGCTGACCACTAGGTGAGGCTTTCTGTTCCATAGAGATTTCAGCTTCTGAAACCAAAAGGGGTTTTCCTGTAGGGTCAACTAGGAGACAGTTGACTCCAAGGCCACGGGTTTGATTGTGGAGGGTCAGCTTTAAACCTAGTGGGTGAATCTCCTCCTCTGCCTTTATCGATCTTTCTAGACTGAATTGAGCTTGTCTGCCAGAGGACGCTTCTTAGATTTTTGATACAGATTAATCTATACTTACATGAATGTTTATAGCAATATGTGCATCTCTAATACTTTCCTATAGACAGTGTTCCATTGCTATCCACAATGTTTTCATTTGCCATTTTTTTCAGAAGCTCATCAACAAGTTCTTCTTCCCAGTCTGTCAGCTCCTCTGAACCCTGTCCACAACGTGTGACCTTGCTGGTATTTTACATGTCAGTGGCACAGTTTCCTGTGTCACAACAGGCAAATCAACACAGTACAAAAAACTGACAAAAAGTGGTAGTTCACCCCATGTACCTTAGACATGTTCCCAGCCCCCGGAGAAGGCCATCAAGCTTGGTAGTCAGCAAAAAAGAAAACCCTCAATGAGATGGACGGACACAGTGATTGTAACAATGGATTCAAAACAGCAATGATTATGAGGGTGGGGCAGGACACCAGGCGGCAGTGGTTCATTCTGTTCTAATCGCCAAGTTCTTCTGCCCAGTATACCCAAACATATAGGATAACTATGAGTGAGAACCACTGGCTCCTAACAAAAACCACCACTACTAAGCAGTTGACATCCAGCAGATTCACAGAATTGTCAATGGCTGACATTTCAGTAGCAGATGGCCAAGAGGAGACTCCAAGAGGAGTATAGTGGTTAAGCACTCAGCTACTAACTGGAAGGTTGGTGGTTCAAATCCACCTAGGTGCTTTGTGAGAAAAAGATACTATATGCCAGTTGTGTAATAAATCTGCACAAGTTACTTACCTTCTCTAGGCTTCACTTTCCTCACCATATGTAAGTAATGAAAGTACTGATTCCATGAGTACACTAGATTGAAACATCCTTGTGAAAGTGTTTAGCATAGCACTCAATACTAAGTACAGAATAAAGATGAGGGTGGCTGATACTGGAAAGAGCTACATTGAAGAAATCCAAAGGGGCATCAATTCAATGACAGTGGGTGATGGATTTCTTTACTATGTATTGATAGCATTTCCTTTTGTGTTCAAGATAAGAAATTTGATATTTAGACCTGGTGGCATAGTGGATTATGCAGCAGTTCAAAACCACCAGCTGCTCCCTGAGAGAAAGATTAGGCTTTCTGCTCCAATAGAGATGCACAGTCTGATGGGACATCTCCTCACAGAAGGGTAACTAACAGGGAAGGGATGAGGCAACCAAGTGCAGTATAGCACCGATGGCACACACAATATTCCTCTAGTTCCTTGAGGCTTCCTCACCCCCCACTATCATGATCCCAGTTCTGCTTCTCACTACGGGCTAGACCGGAGCATGTGCACAGGTACAGGTAAGAGATAAGAGCTCACATGGAATCCAGGCACAGGAATGGGAGTAGAGATACCAGGAGGGTAGGGGGTAGGTGGGGAAGAGAAGGAGAGGAAGAGGGAACCAATCACAATGATTGACACATAACCAGCACCCCCAACCCCACCCCACTCAGGGGGATGAACGACAGAAACCATGGGGGAAGGGAGACAGAGGTTGGTGTTAAGATATGAAAACAATAATTTATAATATATCAAGGGATCGCAAGGGTGGGCGGGGGAGAGAGGAAATAAAGAGGAGCTAATACTAAGGGCTCAATAAAAAGTAAATGTTTAGAAAACAATGATGGCAACATATATACAAATATGCTAGATACAATTGATGAACTGTTAGGAGCTGTTAAGAGGCCCCAATAAAATGATCTTTTAATTAAAAAAAATTTTTTTAAGATGCAGTTGGAACCCACAGGGGTAGTTACTACTCCTCTATCCTGTACAGTCACTCGGGGTCAGGAAAGATTCCGTGGCAGTGAGCTTGGTTTGATTTGGGCTCTATTCCAAATACAATGCTTATATAATGGAATTCGTTATTCCTAAAACCTGTTTTCTTTACTCTGCCACTGTAAGTTTTAAACATTTGTCCTGTCAATTCTTTATCTTGCAAGAATTCATATTGAGTACAGACTCAAACATAACATTTTAGTCATTTCTAATTACTATTTTCTAGTGCCAGTACTTACTGGGCTTACCAACCAGAACTGTATTTAGTTACTACCTACGTTCACAACAATTATACCATGGTTTTGCAAAGTGAAGAAGTTTTTGTTTTGAATATAGGTTCCTAAAAGCCTAATCATTCTCTGAGTATTTTATTAACAAAGTGCACTGAGATACTTGACATTTTCATATAATGATCTTCAAAGACTCATTTTTAACAAGTATTTTCCCCTAAATTATAACTCAAAAGTGACAGATTAATACTAAGCAATTTACTCAATAAATTTGTGTTTTTTGGTTTTTAACATTCATTAAATGCATTGTGGTACAAAGTATGTCACAAACGGTGGTGGAATATGTGGAAATATACAGTGGTGATGGCTGTGCTACATGGTGAACAACCTGGGTCCCTTAAAGGTACATGTGAAAAATGCTGAACGGGCAAATGTTTCCTTATATACAGTTTTATCATTGTTAAGCAATTATATACATATGTATACAAAACACGTGTGTCACTTTAACCACTTTTAAGTATATAATTCATTTACATAAATTATACCCATCTTGTGCCATCACCACAACTATCTAGGTCCCAAATTCCACCTCATCCTGAACACACACTCAGTAACCAAGAAACAACTCTCATGCCTTCCTCCCCAGTGGCAGTAGTAAACTTTTATTTTTGTGCATTTGCCTTCTCGAAAGAGTTCATACAAGTGGGATCCTACAATATCTGTGCTACTGTTTCTGACTTACTTCACTCACTGATTTCAAGGTTCATCCAAGCCATAGCATGTATCAGAATTTTTTTAATCTCACTGTATGTATATATAAGAGTTTACTTATCCATTCCTCTGATAGACAATAGGCTTATTTCCTCCTTTTGGTTATTATGAAGAATGCTGCAATGAACATTAGTTTACAAGCCAGTGCTTGTTTTTTGCTAAAAAGTATCTTTTATCCTGAGGATTAGGAATGCCAAGATGACAGACTCGGGCATACCTTTAAACAACTTAAAGCACAAGGACAGGTGACCCAATTATTACGAATTTCCACTGTCTACATTAGATGGAGGTATCCAGAGGGAAATAAGGAACTTAATAAAGCCTACAATGGTCAGTGGAGGTAGAATCCTCGAGCTGAATCTTTGATGAGCAGGCATTCTAAGTAATAAGGTGAAAGTGGACAAAAGTAGAGAGGAATGGAAGAAATTAGGCCTGATTTACTAACAGTTTCTTGTGGTTAGAGTCAAGAGAGGAAAAAGAAACGAATAGTGGTTGTTTGAAGGGAAAGGTAAGTAGGAGGTAGGAACACATTATGGAATACCTTATATATCAAGTAAAGAACTCAGAACTTTGAGTCAATATAGAATAATGTAGTGTATTTCATATTAGAGCATGAAAAGTATATAAAAATAAAACTGAATTAGTACGTCACATCAAAATCATTTTTTCAGGGATACTCTTGTTTATGTATTTTGTTTTTGTTTGAAATGAATTGTCACTGAATACACCAATTTCATTTCAGTTTTACTTTTCCTCCTTTGTAATATAAACAAGTGTACTCTTGCTTATATTATAATATAAAGGATATTAGAAAGAGATTAGCAATATAATGAAAATATTAAATGCTGTACAGGAATATACAATGTCATTAAAGTAGTAACAAAATTAGGTTTGGCAGGCAAATTTGGAAGTTTACATTTACTTCAGAACATTAACTATTATTAGGTGATTTTGAAGAGGAAACATTTAAATTTCTTACCTGACGCTCCTACATTTGACTTATCGTCAGGAACAAGATTTTTTTCCTTTTCTGGATCTTCAACTAAAAGTTTGTCAAAATGCTCAATACAAAGTCTACTGTCAATCTGATATAACAGTGCAGGGCAAAGGCATGTAAAGAGTTCAGGTGTGATAGGAGAGTTGACATCATGACCAAATTGTCTTAACAGTTGAGTGACGTTCAAGCACTGTGAAAAGATTAATAAGGCAAATTAAGTACAAGAGAATCTTCAAGATTATGCAGAAAAATTACTGTGTAACAGTTAATATTCTACATCTTACTTGAAAATAATAATAAGTTCATATATAAGAATTGATACTTATAATAGATGGCAGTCATAACAGATAAGTATCAATTCTTATATATGAATTTACGATAGGAATCTATTCGACTAGCTTACCCAAGACTGTTTAGGAGATTTACCCATTGTTCCCTTCCAATGAGTGAGACAATGACCTCCTGCAATTCAAGGAAAGATTTACAACTGCATTCCCTAAGATTCTGATGGGGGAGAAGATTCAGCCCCCTAGTCAGATTACAGGCATCAGTTATTTGTGATATTCTTATCTGTGAAGAAGTGTTAGATAGATCTAGAGAATTTAAATGACTTTGCTTGAAAGTAATTCAAAACATAGGCATTCCCACCATCTACAACACCCCCCAAATAATATGATCTTCGGAACTTCTAGACAGATGCTTATTGAAAGACAAAAAACAGAGTTGAAAAACTAACATAAGAACAACAACAACAAAAGGCAGCTCCATCCACTGAAACTTTAAAAAACAAAATAAAACAGAAAGGGGAAAAAGTAAACAAGTTTTAGTTCTTAACACCGAGTGAAAACAAACACTTAAATTAAAGCATAAGGGCATGCCCACTCTATTTAGAGGCGTACTGTCTCACTCGCTTTCTCTCACCACGTGAATTTTCTTATGGCAGCAAAACAACCAACGGAAAAAAGATTCCCCTTCAGTCTAAATTATGAGGCACTGCACTATCTAAGACACAAAACATCTCCAGAACTGCTGAGAATTCCCAGGATGCATTAGACTTGTGAAGATACAACTTCAACAGGTCTTGTAGTACATACTCCCCCAGGCCTTTTACAAACAATTAGCATGTATGATAATGTCCAGTTATTATCAATTAGAAGACCATGAAAATAAATAAAGAAAGAAAGAAAGAAAGAAAGGGAAACTCTGGGACATTATCTATATTAATAATATATTTAAAGTACAGTAAGATTTTAATATATACATTAATATCAGTGTTTAAAACTGTTAAAACCCAATCCTATGATTTACCCAGGAAGGAAACACAAAAGATATTCATTTATGTGTAAAATACATCTCCATAAAAATGGGAAATAGATAAGGGTCATTTTCTATACTTGCTGTTGAAGCAAGAGACAGAAGAAGCCTACCCACCACTTACATTTTTCCTATGGCACTTTCTATATACCCAATCAGTTTGAAAAAGCTCATGGAAAGATTTCATCAACTTTTAATTCCATATTTCCACAAACTTTTTGAACCTACTTCATATAAGTAACTAAGATTCTGATTCCAACGAGGTTTTCTAAAATTCCACTATTAAAAGTGCTAACAATAAGGATAAACTGGGGCATTGATATGGCATTAATGAAACAAGATATGCTTGACATGAATGATTAAAAACAAAACTCAAAGAATCAGTCAAATTCAAATGCATCTGAAAGAGTATGAAAATTTCGAAGGGAAATAAGGCTTTACCTCTATCCGGTGTTTCCCTTGGTAGAATCTCTCCCCTACATCTGCTGAAGGAATGGGAAAAAGACTACCCATACTTTACTTTTACATAAACAACATGTTCCTTCTACATTTGTTTGCCAACCAAACAAACTGACTTTAATGAAAATAAACAAGCACACCAAAAACTGGGATAGCAGCAATTAAAACAATACTTCCTAAAGAGGGAACTGATCGTAATGATCAACGTATTACACACTCACACACCCACGCAAGATGGACAACAGCAACATGGGTGAAGGGAGACACTGGATGGTATAAGAAAATAATAATTTATAATTTATCAAGGGTTCACGAGGGTGGGAAGGTGGGGGAGGGAAGGAAAAAGAGGAGCTGATATCAAGCAGAAAGAAAATGCTTTGAAAATGGTGGCCACATATGCACAATTGTGATTGATACAATTGATGTATAGATTGTTATAAGAGCTTAAGAGGCTCCAATAAAATGACAAAAAAAAACAACAACCCCTCCTGAGGGTGGGGCACAGGGACAGAGTGGCAGGCAAATAAACGTGAAGGTGTATATTTTCCGTGTGAAGAGACATTTTGAACAGACCATGGCACGGGGAAACAGCTGACCATGTGTGTGAAATACTTAACAGAGCTAGAACAATGACTGGGAACCACCAAGTAATTAAAGTGATAAATTAATTATGAAAAAGCAATTGCTCTGGTTACTTCCCAAGAGCACAAGTGGGGGAGGGGGACGATTTTCAAGTATATATAAGCCAGCTAATACTGGTAACAGGGAAAAGCAATTTGCAAAGTGAAATAAGTCCTAAGTAGGATAGAAAAATAAAGGATTAAAATAATAAATCTATTCTCTAAAACCTATAAACATTTACATTTGAGGAGGCCAAATTAGAGAACAACAAAAAATACGGACAATAAGTAAAATCTTCAATCTGATCTTTTTGGTTGTTCTTTTGTTCATGGCTGCGTACCAGAAATACGTTTAGACAATTATTCCAATGTGACCCCTCTCGTTAGCTAAAATATTTCACAATGGGTAAGAATTACAGAATCTTTCTCCTACTCACCTCATCATGTTGATGGTCATCTTCACTATGATCTTTGTGATTAGCAGCTGAATAAATTGCACTTTTTTTAACATGTGAAGCTTCTCGCTTGCTAGTATGTCGAAGTTCACTTTCATTATCATGATCAAGACCTTGGTGTCCATGGCCTGAATCATGACCATTATGTTGTGGAAGGTGTGTATTAGAATGGCCTTGGCCATGTGCACGATCAGCTTTGTAGACCTGATTGTACTCATACTGTTCACCCTGATCATGGCCAGGGAGGAAACCTGGTGTGGTCACCTCAGAATTGTCATGACTTTTCTTCCCCTTTCTTCTCTTTTTCTGTCTCGGCTGCTTAACTTCGCGCTGCTGTGTTGTATTGGTCTCTGTTGATGGCTCATGACTAGGCTCCCCACGCTCGCTGTGAGTAACAGAATCATTATGAAAATGGCGAGTGGTGTTATGATCCAGGTGATGGTGCGGGTGATGGTGATGATGTTGTCGCCGACTATGGTCATGTGGACGTTTGGCGTCAGACTTTACAGAAACTTCAATGGTCTCTTTCTCTGGATCACATTTATGGTTTCTTTTAGTTGATACGCTAGTTACAGTTTGATTTTCGGAATTTAAATGATTATGGGAATGCTGGTGGTTATGTGAGTGAAAATGCTTTCCCTCCTGAACTGCCAAAATATCTAAGTGAGATACATGATCGTGGCCAAGATCCTCATGATTAATCTCAACTACTCTGATCTCTCCAAGGCCCAAGTTTGTTAAAAGTTTCTCCAGACCAAAAAAGGATAATCTTCCATTTTCACCATAACGGGTAAAAAGTTTTTCTATGTAGCATTTTTTTTGATTTTCAGCATCCAGCACTGAAAATTTGCTTGACTCCGATTCTGTCATTCCACAGTGATGTCTGTGGTGCTCTTCAGGGCCATGGTCATGGTCATGGTCTTCATGGCAATGGTTGCAATGATGAAATACAAATGTCAGCAAACAAATGAGGCAAAACTTTGTGTGCATGTGTACCTTCATTTCTACTTTTCCTAAGGGGATTTAAAGAGAGACAAAGCATTGATTGTACACTCATGGAACATTCAAAATAATCCCTTTTTAGCAGTTGTTAATCTACCACGCACATATAAAACCTTAATTCTTTCATGGCTACAAATCATTTCTTCCTTTACCAATTGTCTATAAAAATTTCACACTTTTGCCTATTACGGTGTGCACCAATCTTTGAATTTACAAATTGCTTGAGACTCATCTGTAAGACTGTACTCACCTCTTGAATGTATGACACTAAGTAGTTCTAACATTTATACAAAAACTGCTACCTCCCTTCCTAGCTGATACTGTACAGAGTCGCTGGTCCCTACAGTTGAAGTCCTAGTCAGAAGAAAAAGCGGTATTAGTAAAAATGCATATAAGTCAGAAAGAAAAAACTGACATTCACAAGTGATATGACTGCATCCGTTTTGTGTTACTGTTGCCCTGTGTTGATTACACCTCTCAAGACCCGCAGAGGGTACAGTAAAAGGGTCTAGGAGGGTCTCCAAGGCTATAACCCTCTACAGAAGCAGCCCGCCAGTCGTTCTCCAATGAAGCGGCTAGTAGGCTTGAACTGCAAACTGAACCATTGTTAATTAATCAATCAATCACTGCACCACCAGGGCCTTCATTCAATATGTGGAAAATCCAAAGTTATCTGTAAGTATTCAATTAATTTGGTATATCGGGGAGCTTCAAAAGTTAATGGAAAAATTCTATTATCTTTTCATTCCATTTTCAATGAACTTTTAAAAATCCTGGTATGTTTTATTTTTAACAGTTTTATTGGGACTTAATCAATATATCACACAACTCAACAGTTCAATTACAGCAAGAAAAACTGTACATTCATTACCACAATCAATTTCAGAACATTTTCTGTCCGATTTATTTTTATAAACTCTCATTGAAGGTAGCAAATAGCTATGAATAAACTTAACAAATACTTGTAATACATTTATCTAGAACATATTATTGAGAGAAATTAAACACCTAAATAAATGCACAAATAGGTGTCTATAACTAAAAGATTAATGAAAGAAATTGTCACTTCTACCTAAATTGAGCTGGAGATTCAATGTAATCTCAACCAAAATATCAGGAATTTATTCTGTGGAAACTGATGAGCTATTTCTGATACTTGTTTATAAATAAAAGGCGTTATCAAAAGAACACATGAATGTTCACTAAAACATTACTCAAACGGCTTAGTACTAGAGAAAATAGGCAAGAACACGTTCACCCTTAGTAAACTGGAAACATTAAACAGAGTGCTCTTACAATGTAATGTCACACAAGAATTCATACGGAAGACCAAGCCCAAAGACAACCAAGATGGGTTGAGAAACCAGCAAAGCTATACAAATCAAGACTTCTTTTAAAGCTAAATAAAGAAACTGTGCTGGCAGAGGGATGTATAAATAAGCCACTGGGCCAGAACAGAGTTCAGAAAGAGAATCAGTAATGTTGATTATAAAGAAGGGTTCCTCCTCACACCACACACAAGTCGATTAAATACCTAAATTTGAAAAGCAAAACTTTCAGCACACTTCAGAATATTGAAAATATCACAATGGTTTTGGGCTGAGATTTCTTAGAAAGACAGAGAAAGCACAAGCCACGAAGAAAATTTAGATAAAAATCTTTCTACAAGAAAGGACAACATAAGCAAAATATATGACAAACCGTACACTGGAAGATATTTCTAATGTAAATATGTAAACAATGTATGTAAACAAGCAGAACCTATATAAAAAGCATGTATCAATAAAGGAAAAACTCCGATACACAACCATATAACAGGAAAGCAGATTAAGCAACAATGTATGATTACTAATAATGTACATAACAGAAATTGAGATAATGAACCCACACTAATTGACAAAAAACGAACGCCTGACAATACCAGGTTAGCAAAGATCTAATGTGGAGAAATAAAAACTATTTTACACTGTTGAAAAGAATACCAGGGGGCCTCAAAATGTTTGTGGAAATATTTTCACTATCATCTAGTTGCCTTTTTCCCACCAACACTGTGAAGTGTCTCTCAGTAGTCACACAGGACAGCACAAGAAGCCTTAAATATCTTAAGGGTGAAATGCTCACATCTGGTAGCAAGCTGATTTGGGTTGGAAATAACAAGAGTTTAATAAAAGCTACAAAAATTATACTTGCAACATAAGGTTTCCGTTACGGGAAGTGCCGACAATTTACTCTATGAAGGGGTACCACCTTCCCAAAGAACTGAAAACGCTCTGCTGGGCAGGTCTTTCGTAGCACGCATTTTCCCCACTAGGAGAGCACCGAGCCACTTGCTCTGAGTTAGTGCACCCAGGGATGTTGCCTGGGAAGATTCTCCCTGGTCACAGTGAATTTTTTCCTAATAGCAGTTTCACTTGAACCTCGCTTTTTGTGATGGCTGATTTAAGAGAACAGCATGCAGCTATGAAATTTTGTTTCCTGCTCAGGAAAATGCTGAAGAAACTGTTATTTTGTTTAACACCGCTTACAAGGGCAGCGCTATGGGAAAAAAACCTCAAGTGTATGAGGGCTTTGTTTCAAAATAGGTGTAATGTCGATTGATGACAAACTTCATTTTAGACATCTGTCAACATCCCGAAGTGACGAAAATGTCAACAAAATCCGTGCCCTTGTGCTCAAAGACCAATGACGGACCACTGAAGGGATGGGGAAGTTATCTGGACTACCTTGGAGAGAAGGGATGCTGAGAAATGTGTGTCTTGGGTTCTGACTGACCAGGAAGAAGAACACCGAGTGGAAACATGCCATGCTTTGAAAAAACAGCTCCTAAGCGACCCAGACTTTTTTCCAAGGTGATGAGGCCTGGTGCTATTCTTATGACCCCCTACAGCAACCATCAATCAGGCCGGTGGAAGACGCCATTGTCACCTTACCCCAAAAAAGCTTGTCGAGTGAAATCAAAGATCAAGACGATGCTCTTTTGTTTTTTTGATGTGAAGGGGAAAGTGCATGCGGAGTTCGTTCCACCAGGTTAGAATGTTAATCAAACTTTCTTTTTAGAGGTTCTGAAAAAATTTCATAGCAGTGTAACAAAAAAGGCCTGATTTGTTATGGTAGACTGGGGACTGGTTTTGCCACCATGACAATGCACCTGCTCAGGCAGCCATCTCAATGCACCAGTTCTTGGCAAAAACAGCATGCCTCCCTTGGCTCCACACACCTTACTCACCTGACCACACTCTGTGTTACTTCTTTTTGTTTCTGCGAATGAAGAGGGACATGAAAGGACAGATATTCGATGATGTAGAAGAGGTGAAGAAAAAAACAAGGGAGGTACTGTCAGCCATCCAAACAGATGAATCTGAAAAATGTTTCTAAGAATGGAATCGCAGATTTGACCAATGTATTCAGTGTAATGGAGAGTACTTTGAAGGTGATAAGGTTCTTTTGTAAAAAAAATTTAAATACATAGCTTAGAACAAAATTCATTTGGGGGGGGGGGGGAGACTAACCCTGGGTATATCCAGTACATAATCTATTCAACTAATTTGACTTTGACCAGGCTTACAGGACAAGTGGGGACTGGCAGACTCCTTGAGATAGATCTATAGGTCTGGAAAGGACCTTAACCCTATGGCTCAATTCTTAAGCAAACGACAAGTCTACAAGGTGAACCTATTTCTTAGCTGTCAGTTTCTCATGTTTTGAGCTCTGCATGTTTCTGTGATGCTGGAAGTTACATAACTGGTATTTCAAGTACCAGCACGGTCCCTCATCATAGACAGATTAAAACAGAACTTTTAGACTAAGAACAGACTCTGTCTTCGAACCAATGCCTACTCATATAAACCCTACAGGACAGAGTACAACTGCCCCTGTGAGTTTCCAAGACTAACTCTTTATGGGAGTAGAAAGCTTTTTCTCCCTTGGAACTGGTGGCTTCAAACTGCTGATCTATTGGGTTAGCAGCCCAACAGGCACATCTATGCCACCAGGGCTCCTGAGAGATTAGCCATTGAATGCTTATAATCAACAGCAGAAAAATATGATATAGTACCAGATGATCTCTTCAAAATATGCTCGGGGAAGAGATGCCTTCTCAAAGTAGAGTCAACTTTGATGTCCTGATATAAAACTTTCATAACCTTCATTTGTTGATGGCGCATGACTCAAAATGAAAAGAAACAGCTGGAAACACCCAGTAGTAATCAGTATAGAGGAAGAATCTAGGAAAATCGGTTGTCATCAACTATGAAACATTTTAAAACATAACTCATAAAAAATCAATGTCCTAGTATTAGGAGCTGAGATGGAATGGTATTGGCCATTTTGAGCAGGACAGCCAAATAATTTACAACTCTGGGAATGTCAAACTCAGGAGAATAGCATCTCATTCGTCATCAAATAGAACATTTCAAGAATTGAATTACAATGCTGTCTGTGATAAAATCCATGTGCCTACAAGGAAATCAATTTACTATATATACTCGTGTATAAGCCAAGATTTTTCAGCACATTTTAAATGGAGTTTTTGTGGTAAAACTAGGTCCCTTGGCTGATATGCGGGTCCGCTTATACTTGAGTATATATGGTAACACATTACTCAAATTTATGCACCAACCACTAGAATTACTGATGAAAAAACCGAAGCATGCTACCAGCTTCTTCAGCATGAAAATGATGGAACAAAATGTACTGATAATTACTAGCAATTGGAAGGCAAAAGCTGGAAACAGGTAACCAGCTGTTGGAAATGTGGCCTTCATAGAAACATAGTTGGAGTTTCCAGGATAGAATTTTGCCAAGACCATCAACTTCTTTACTGCAAATGTTTTTTTCAAATGTAAACACACCAGTTTTCAATACATAGTGACTATACATGTGGACCTTGCTAGATAGAATACACACAAATCAAACTGACTACATCTGTGGGAAGAGATACAGAGCTCTGTTGTCAGTTGAAACAAGACCAGGGGCTGACTGTGGAACAGATCATCAATTGCTCCCTTGAAAG